GCCTCTTGTCTTGATTAGAACCCCTTCTGGGATCATGTCGAAGGTCAGAATTCTCCCTTCTCTTGTTCGCTGCCCTCACTCCTTGTATGTGCTCAGCAGCTTTTTTATCAAAGATAGAACTGCATCTTGGACACAGCATAACCTCTGATTTCTTCTTCTGGCATCTTTGTAAAAAATCTGCCAAGTTTTCGTTTTCCTTAGGGAAAGCCGTTTTATTTGCCTGCTCTTGCCTTATGGCTTCTTCTGAAGCTTTAGGGTCAGAAAGTTCAACCATGTTGATGTTCATGGTATCCTTAGTAGCAAGAGTTAGTTGTTTCATTTGTGTTTCCAGTTTCTCCGTCTGGCCTTGTACAGTGGCCAATTGGGAACTGGGCTTTAGTCCAGTTTTTTGTACTTCAGCAGTCTTCGACTTTGGATCTTCGACCGCTTTCTGGACAGCCTCGATTGTCTTCCTGGATAAGTTTCCAGAAAAACTGCCAAAGATTGGCATGTTGATGTGGTCCTTAGAGACTTCGACCATGTTAATGCCTGGCTTCTTCGACTGGATCTTGGTAGCCTCTATCATGTTCACCTCAGAGGGTTCTGCATAGTGGGCTTCAGCCTTCATTGGATTGGAGTCGACAGCCATGGGGGACTTGTCAGCAAACTTTAATCTCCCTTCCTCAATAGCGTCTTGCACAAGATTCCTGAAAAGAAAACATTGAGAAGTTTTATGGCCCAGAAAATTATGATATTTGCAAAAACCTCTCTTCTTTCTTTGATCAAGAGGAGGCACTTTTACCCCAGGGGGTACTATCATTTGGCCATCTTTAACTAGCAAGTCGAATATTTCATCACATTTTGTGATGTCAAAACTATAAGTCTTTTTTGGGAACCTATCGTTGGTCTTGTCTGGACCAATGGGATTTTTCCCGTTTGAGGGGACTAATTGTTTACAAGAGTATGGAGGCCCTTGTTTTAGTTCTGCTAAGTCGACTTCTCCTTCTTCGACAGCTAAAGTATCGTCGAAGGATTCTAGATCTTCGTCATCCATCTCAACGTAAGCTATTCTTTCTCTCTTGTGAGTTTTTGTTGCCTTAGCTTTTTCAGCTTTAAGGCGTTCGACTTGTCGAACTCTATCGGCCAATTGGGCCATGTCTCTTAGGTATTGGGTATCTAGCTTCTTCCTAATGGAATAATCTAAACCACCTGCGGCCATTTCGACCAGCTCATGTTCTGGCACTTGTGTAAAACATCTCGCCTTAAGCAACCTAAACCTATTCAGATATTCGTCTATAGGTTCAGTGAAACGTCTCTTCACACTCGCCAGTTCTTTCAGGCTTATCTTGGTTTGCCCCATATAGAATTGTTCATGGAACAATCTTTCCAATTGGGTCCAATGGTGGATCGAATTGGGGGGTAGAGTTGTAAACCAAGTAAAAGCGTTCTTGGTTAAGGAACTTGGGAAGTATTTGATCCTTAGGTTTTCATTATTTGAAATGTCTCCTGCTTCGATCAAATACCTTGCCACATGTTCGACAGTGGATTCTGTCGTGTCCCCAGAGAACTTAGTAAATTTGGGGACTTTGGTTCTAGGGGGTAAGTCAGTTTGTAACACATATTCTGACAAAGGAGAAGTAAAATTGGGCCTTCGAAAGCCCATGTTCATCCCATTCTGAGTCATGATCCTTTCGATCATGGTTGCCAGATTGTTTTCCAACCCCATGTTTTGGTATTGGACATGCTGAACCACCTCGTCAGCATTTTGGTTTCTGTTAACTAACCTAACCTCTGGGGCTATTACCCTAGGTTCTTCGACAGGTTGTTCTACAGGCTGTTGAGCCTGATTAATGGTGGTTTCTTCCTCTACAAATATCCCCTGATTTCCTCTTATTTGCGCCCTTTGGGGCTGTCGAATAGGTGGGGGTACTCCAAAGAAGTCAGCCAAACGCGTCATTTGCGCCGTAACTTGCTGATTCGACTGAGTAGTATTTTGTATTAGAGGATTTAGCACTGTACTCAAAGTTTGTGCCAACATTTGCACCATATCATGGTTGCTTTCGTCCATCTGTTGCCTCAAGACTGCTGTCGAGGCATTTGTAAGGCCGTGGGCTACTTGGGACGTTCCTCCTAAGAGTTGGGTCCTATTTATATTCGCCATGCCTACTCCAGAGCCTTGGAGTGGCGAAGTGGCACTCACGAAAGGGTCTGAATAAGTGGACGCAGCATTCGTCAGGCTTGCCAATTCAGAAGTTGGCATACCATAGAATGGAATAAATCCTGGGGGAACCACTGGCCTTGGGCCAGTATTTCCCCTTGGAGGGGGGGTTCCCAAAGGCATTCTGGGGCCTGTTAACGAAGTTATTGGCCCCGTAGTTGTGACTGACACTGCTGGCATCGAACCAACATTCGTCGCTTCACTAACGGTCATATTAACCGTTGCTCCCCCACTTGGTGGTGGAATTTCATTATTGTTTGGCGGATCCGCCATCTCTTCCCTTCTTCTGGCAGTATTATTATCGTTGGTGTATATTCTACCACTCCTCAATAACATACAACTCGAAAAGATGAGATTTTTCAACAATCAACACACAGTCCCACCAGGTGTGCCAATTTGTTTACCTAGGGATTTGGTAAACAACCGCTGATCCTCCAAATGGTTACTTATTTGGTTACTCGCAGGATCGATCAGATTGATCCTATGGACATAGGTTGATTTTGAAGTTTAATTAATGTGGATAAGGCTTTAAGTAAATTGTTTAAAGTAAATTGCATAAAGGAAAAGGCTTGGTAAAATAAACAAAGCTTGAATGTAAAGGTTCGACAGGAATCTTAAAGGAGAAAGCAAGTAAAATACTGGAAAAGTAAATGACTTGAATTGATTAAATTGGTGTTTCACACATACATTTCTCAACAATTCGTTCGCTCACACTGGGTACTTGAATCTAAATGAGTGACTATGTATCTATTGTGAACACACGCGAGAAACTACACGTCTACTCCTATTTATACAAAAACATTCCAAGTAACCGTCGGGCAGTTACACTGCTTCGAGATCAAGCCACTTGTCACGTTCTTCATGCTCGACGCTCCAGATCCTTGCACGTTCGCACGTAGTAACTGCTGGAAACCGTTTTCCCTCCAAAGCTTTGAATTTCAAACTGCTCCACTTCTGGATCATCGAACACCTTCATCAAGAGACGTCTTCGACGAAAACTCCTTCGACGTCGAAGGCAATCAGCCTTCTTCCTTGGAAGAAATCTTCTAAGTATTTTGCCATCTTTCGACGGACATTTCGACATACTTAGCCAGTCGAAAGCATCTTTCAGCTTTTAATGGCTGCCATCAATCAAAACAAAGGTGTCGAATTTAAGAGCCAACAGTCGGGCAACAATATGTCAAGAGTGCAAATGTAACCTTATCTGCCTAAAAAACACAAATAAAGCAATTGTTTTTAGAAGAACTACGGTGCTCTGATTTCTCTATTGCACGATGTGTTAGACGATGATGTGTATCTAGAGGGGGGTGAATAGAGGAGCAAAAAATAATTTTAGACACAAATCTAGAATTTGATTTTTTTTCAAAACTTTTTAATGCAGAAGCAATTTACTGGATAAGTCGTCTAAAAATAACTTATTGGAAACTCGAATAAACAAATTGTTAAATACAAATATATGAGACAAAATGGAATAATTTATTAACACAAACTCAATTCAACAATCCACTTATATATTGTTTGAACAAAAATCACTTTGCGATGCTATTTACAAGGCTATATAATCAAAGAACTAATTTGATCATTTTAACAAACACTTGGCGTGCAAGTGCATTTTCAGAATTTTTTCTTGATAGGTGTTGATATACAAAATCACTTATAATCAAATATGATTATAAGCTATATCCACACCTAACTCAAAAACTGATTTTGAGAGGAAAATTCTTACAATTCAATTACTAACACAATGCTATTTGTTAAAATGATTGATAAAATTGAAAGCAAGTAAAAGCGGAAAAGTAAAAACACACAAGAAATTTGTTTACACTGTTTCCCACTGTCGTCCTCGCGTGTGGGCGCGTCTGCACTTAATTTCATTAGAACTAGGATAATTCTTATATGCAAAATGTTTAATACAATAGAAAAAGTTAGAAACAACGATACAAAATTCTCCAATTTCCAACAAATTTTTTAATACAATAGGAAAAGCTAGAAACATCCATTTCCAACACATCCATTTTCAATTGACATATTTGAATATTTGAAATAGTGAAAAGATAGATAGGTTACCTTGATAATGAAATAATTTGTTTTAAAGTTTTTTAATTTGCATAATAAATAAAAAAATCAATGGACAAACAAAAACAACAAGCCGAAGAGCAACACATAAAAAGATAAAAATTCTTTGAATTGGGGAGATTTCAAACCAACCTAAAAATTGTAATTTTTTATTACTAATTGAATTTATTGTTACTTTAATCAGAATTTACTTTTTTATTTATTTTAAATTCCTTAAATGATAAAATTTACGATGAGAATTTTTTAAGTCAAGTGTATATTATTTGAAAATTGTTCAAAACTAACTTTTTAATTTAAAATCTACAAGAAATTTGCTTCAATATGTCTAGAACTATTGCCTTAAAATTTGTGTAATGAGTATTTTAAGTTATGTCTTATCCATATCCTAAATATTAACTTAATTCCAATTGTTCCAAAACAACAAAATAAAATAAAATAATTTGGAGTAAACTTTGGCATAAAATGGGCCAACCAACGTCCTACGATTAACAAGATATGCAAATCAAACACCAATACTCTCATTACAAGATTCATGAAAACATACATAGATCCAATAGATTGAAATAAAGACATTAATAACAACTTACATAACCACACACATGCATATTTTATTTTATAAACTTAAGTGTCTAAGAAATCCAAACATGGATTGAAATAAAGACATAGGAAGATTTTTTATTTAAGTAGAGAGATCATGCATGGATAGTTTTTGTTGTACATATTAAGTTTAAATTGCCGAAGACATCTTCAACAAGTTTGAGAATTCAGAAAATAGAATATTCTTGATTCTGGCTTGAGCTTGGGAGTTAGAGTCAAAACACATGCCATGTTCAATATTTGAATTTGGAATGAAAGCGCAGAAGCTCCCACTTTCTTTTTTTATACAGTCCACGTGAGTTTCACATAAGTTAGGAGTTTGTTCCACTATCTTCCTAACATCTGAATTTTTCACGCAATATATTCTAGGACTATAGGTAGACCCAGAATATACACATTTACAACGGTCACAACGTACATCGCATTTTTTCCCAAATAATGTACAATATAAATCTTCACAACTTTCTGTTCCTTTCATCTCCATCAGAAAATCAACTGCATCTACCTTCTCCATCAGAAAATCACCTGCTTCTACCTTCTTCATCAGAAAATCACCTGCTTCTACCTTCTTCATCGAAAATATTATTACTGCAAATGGTGATGATAAAGTTAATATATACACAACTATTAAAAACACATGTTTGCATTTAAAGTCCATTTCTTTTTATCAAACCTTATTTTTTGTTATACCTAAGCACCGAATGTCAAATATTCTTAAGCCATATATATATATACAAGACATACCTAAGGTGGCAAGCAGGAAGAGAGGCAAAAGAGAGACCTTAGCATAAGCCATAATGCTTGAATCAATAGAAAGAATTTGCTACTAGGTTGATGTTGTGTTGCATTTGTTCATTCATACATGTTGTAATTTATAGAGATATCTTGTGTGTCCTGCCACATTTTCCACCACACATTCTCTTGCCTAACAAGTCATTAATGCCTCCATATATTTTTGTTGAAGCATGGAACACGAGCCAATCCCTCACCCGTTAGATTCAAATGGATCCATCTCCACCATCCATGTGAGCTGTCTTTTTCTTTTTCTGTTTGTCCACTATACCTGTATTTTGGGTGAACATCTCCTAGTACTGCAATATAACTGTATATCAATGTCATTCATACAATGGAAAATTTGGAAGGGCCCATGGACCACTATATTTAAATTTTTAGTTATTAAGACATTCGTCATGCTAAAAGATAGTAATAAGTTAGTAAAGCTTTCAACTTCTTGTCCATGCATGTAACTTAGCAACCGTAAAGGCATTTTTGTCCAACGAAAATGAGCTCGACAAGTTACAGTTTTTTTTGGAAAATCCTCCGCTCACAACCTTGGTTTCGTTCATTAATAACGAGAAATCGTATCATATAATTGCTACGTTTTAATCCATTTTCATACTGCATTAATCCATTTAACTCCCGATTGTTCCGAGTTTTTATTTCTTTTCACAGGTACAATATGTTTCAAGTCAATTTAGTGAAAAAGATCATATGAAGAAAGCTAACATGAAAATCCGAAGAAAAGGAACAAATCTTCAAAGTTATGCAGATTTTGATGTTGTGACGGTCGTCACACATCTATTACGACCGTAACGCGATCACATCATGAAAAATGCTCGTCACACATCATTGACGAACGTAACGCGCTATTTAAGTGTATTACGACCGTCACCTCTACCTTACGACCGTCACACGCGTAATTCAACGTTATGAAGAACATGGAGACGTGGGCAACGTAATGAAAGGGTTCTTCAACTCCTACAATCTATCAACCTCACCAACGTCCAGTCCTGGTTTTTCTCCAAAAGAAGTACAAGTCCATTTTCCTATTATTTCTTAACTGCCAATTCCTCCTCTATAAATAGGAGAGATTTCAATGAAGGAGGGACAGAGAGTTTTTATTTACAGCAAGTTTTATTTTCACAAATTCCTTACGGAAGCTCTGCCGAATTTGCAAACCGTTCCCAGTTTTCATTTTTTCTACTGTTCTTGTTTTATATTCCATTTTACCCTTTAATAGCCATTTCCAACATTAGGAAATTGCTATTTTAGTTAGAATTTGTTTTTAGCCTCAAAATTCGTTTCAAGTTCCGATTCCGAAGGTTTCAATCTTGCCGACTTGTGGAAGAGAGAGCTTGAGGAATAATATTGTTATTCAGGTTTTTAATCGTATTTAATTTAACTTTAATACAATTTGCTTATGTTAAATTACTGTTATTTATTTATCATGAATGTTTTATTGTTTCCCGATTATATTTCCTGTCTGTCTGTTTTAAGTACCATGACTAGCTAATTTTCTATAGTCGGGATGTGATAATAGTAACTAAATGGATTAAATTGTTCCTAAGCTAAAATCCAAATTAACTTAATTTCTGGCTGTGACTTTTTATAATTAAAATCAATCTTTTTGTTACGAGAGTAAGAAAAGTAGAATAGGTTACGATCAAGACCACGAGAGTGTGAGGTTTTAACCAGATAGCTAAAGTTAGGCATTTGATTTAAATACAGCGAGAGCGCTTTAAAACGAATTAGATTTTATTAAGTTTTCAAAGAGTATTTTATAAACACTTATGGGCTAGCGAGAGCAGGCATAGAGCTTTAGGGGTATAATCCGAGATAAGACCACGAAAGTGTGAGTTGAGGGTTTTTAAACTGATAATTTCTATAGAACCATCTAAGTTAAACATCTTTATATGCTTAGGTTCGATTAAATCCACTTAGGTTCACTATATTACATACCGACCGTTTTATTATTATTATTATTCCCTTAGTTCGATTTAGTTTTCCTCTACTTTAATTTCCCCCAAAAATCCAATTATTCATTAGCCTTAGCTTTACAAAGTAGCGATAGATTGCAGTAGGTTGACATTGGTCTCTGTGGTTCGACAATCTTTTATATTACTTTGATATTTCCGTGCACTTGCGGAATTTACCCATCAAGTCTTTGGCACCGTTGCCAGGGACCAACAGTCAATATTGTTATTCCGTTGTTGCACCGTATAGACTAAGGCATTCTTGTCCCAATTACTATGTATCACCCAAATTTTTTCTACAACTCCCACTTCGAGTATTTCGAGGAATCACAAGAATCCTATAAATCCGACCTCGAAATACTATTGGAGAATTTCAATGCGTCACAAACTCATTCTCACCCGAATTACCTTTCCAACTATCAATCCCAAAATTTTGAGGAATTGCAAGAATATTATAATTCCAACCAAACTTATCCTCAACCGAATTTCCCCTACAATCACTACACCCAATATTTCGAGGAGACACAAGTATCCTATAAATTCGACCTCGAAATATTAATGGAAACTTTTAATGAAATATCAATGATGACAAAGCGCTTTGTGGAAACACAAAATGCGACTCTAACTCACTTTGAAGAATCAGAAGAATCGCATGATTTCAACTTCGAAACATCAATGGAGGATTCTGATGCGACGCTAATTCACTCTAGGTTAGAATCTATGATTGAGCACTTTGTAGAGACACAAACTGTCCAGAACGAAGAGTTTAGAAAACAATGTCTTCAAAACAGTGAAAACCTTAGGCAACTGACCACTGTGGTTGAGTCGCTCACGACTCGCAACATAGCCTTAGAGACTCTAGTCTCCATGCTTGAACAAAACCCTCTAGGACCCTTCCCCGAGGAGAAATTGGATGTTGTAACAACTAGTAGTGAAAAACAAATTGAAAATCCTAAGGAGAGTGATAATGAGGTTGAGGAGAGTGATGATGTGGTTGAGGAGAGTTCAAACGAGAAAAGAGTAAAGATTGAGAAAAATCCTCCAACACCATCTAAAAGGGAGGTTGTAGAAGAGGTAGAGAAGGAAGCACCTATTGTTGTTCCTCATCCATATACCCCACCGATTCCTTTCCCGCGTAGTTTTATGGAAGCTCAGGTAGACTCCCAATCTAAAACATATGTAGAGATATTGGAAAATACCCACACCGATGCACCCTTGTTTGAAGTCTTGCATAAAAAGAGAAAATTAGAGGACCATGAAACTAGGGATATAATTACTGTTAAGAGGGTAAGGTTAACCTTTAGGGTGGCAGATGAAATCACTAAGCCCAAACTTGAAAAGTTGATACTTAGGATAGATCCAGAACCACCACCACAAGTCCAAAAGAATGAACCACCCCACAAAAGAAAGAAAAGAAAAGGTGAGGGATATGTGAGATGGCTTGATAAGTGGCCATGGAAAATGACAACTACTAAAAATTCAACCGAGGATTCATTCTCGAGAGAACCACCATGAGTGCTTGCACTCTTGAGCCGTCGAGCTATCAACATTAAACAAAGCGTTGCGTGGGAGGCAACCCACAAGCTTTTAATTTAATGTTTTGTTTTTATTGTCTGAATTTGCAGAAAATGAAGATATGGATTGCTCCTCACGTATCGGCCATCTCTTGGCGGAAAATTTATAGATGATCATCTCGAAGATGAGCCGGTGCCCACGCATATTCCTATAAATATCGCTGCTGGTGGTGACACTGTTGATGCGTACGATAGGAGAAGGTACTTCCTCTGGATGCAGGGCGGATTTGTTCGTGATAGCCCATCAATAGCATTCATACAGGTTCTGTCTTTCCTATTTCCACCTTTTATCAAAACATTAAGGACAATGTCTGGTATAGTGTGGAAGAGGTACCTTTCCATTTTCCATTAAACAAGTAATTTTTACGATATTTCTAAGTTTCAATTCTTCTCCGCTTTATTTAGCCATACCGAAATTTTTTTGCTTTATCTTCGCATAGCCGACATACCTACCTTAACGAAATCCTAGTTAGGAAGCCGAGAACGATTCAACAAGATCGATCCGGTTATGACACCTTAGACTTCCTACTTACGTGATCCGTTTCAACAACCGTTATACCTATATCTTGAGTTTTAGTTCTAAAGTAACCCCTAGTAGTTTATACTAGCAGTCAGCACCGTCTTGACACAAACCACGTGGGGAGCCGATGAATATAAGTGTTTGATGCCTAATCAATGAAATATCCTTCTTATCTCGCTGCTGAAAAGGAAAATTTGCACCAAAATACAAGGTCGCATATACGAGATGAGCAAACAATGAAGGAGTCCATTGTTGGTTGGTTCAGAGGTATCTGGTTCTGAACTTGGTAGGGCGTGCTACATCTCGATCCCCCACAACCTCCAATTTGGATGATATGTGTAAGGTTGCCACATTCGTGTACCATACCCCGTGCTAAAAGGATCAAAGTCACTAATCAGTTACTCCACTATGTGCGTGCTAAGACAAAGGTCTTAATGTGATTGCGCTAGAACAAACCGGGTGAAATAGGTACAAGAAACTCTGGGTAGAATTATAATGGAACTATTGGACAATTTGTTTAAAATGGAAGTCCATGACTTAGCTTATTGCTTGTGTCATTAGCGTATCGATAATGTTTTACTTAAGTATCGGTCGAACTAACGAATGATTTACCGTAATTTCTTTTAAAATCAAAGGTATGTTATACATGTGCGCCTGATAAAACTTGTCCGATCTTTCTAAATGATTATTTGCTTGAGGACAAGCAAAGGTTTAAGTATGGGGGAATTTGATAACGAGAAATCGTATCATATAATTGCTACGTTTTAATCCATTTTCATACTGCATTAATCCATTTAACTCTGGATTGTTCCGAGTTTTTATGTCTTTTCACAGGTACAACATGTTTCAAGTCAATTTAGTGAAAAAGATCATATGAATAAAGCTAACATGAAAATCAGAAGAAAAGGAACAAATCTGCAAAGTTCTGCAGATTTTGATGTTGTGACGG